AGCAAAATTCATCCACCCTCCACAACAGTTTGCCGAGGTGGATAAATTAAAATTCACTTCAGCTCACATAGAGCTAAATGCCTAAAATATCACTAGGATGCATTCTCAAAACAATCTCATGCCAATAAAGACGTGGTACGTGTCCTCTAATAAGCGGTTTTGCCGCCAAATGGTACCACAGGATAAATGGTTATGACCCAGGGCTCTCTGAGCCGAGTGGCTTTGCAGCCAAATGGCGCCATGAAATACCGGTTATGGCCAGAGCCAATATGTTCCTTACTGGCATCAAATCCTTGAGATATGAATCAATATGATATGATCGATAGGGCACAAAGACCTCTGTTAGCTAAGGTGGATTCAAATTTGTCCCCTTAGGCAAATATTCACCCTAGGTCTACAAGGTCCCCTTGGATGAAGCAACCCATGGCTGCTGACAAGGATCCTTCTGTCAGGTTGGGTCGACTACCTCCTCTGACTAAGTAGACCAAGGACCACGATAGTCAACGACGACGGAACCATGGGATCTTGATCGGGTCTATCATCCATTCCCCCACCATCCGCTTTAAGTGCAAGATGGTGAAATCTCCAATTCTAAATATCAAACTTTTTAAATATTTCAACCCAATTTTCCAAATATCCAAACTTTCCAAATTTTCAAATCCAAGCCCAATGCTACTACTATATGTCAGATAACACGTATCTCTACGTATCTGATTGACGACTAGCCTTAATCGAAAGTTTTCTCTAATTATTGGGAGGGGTAATTAACTATAGGGGTTTGCGCCTATAGGAAACCAGAACTCAGATCATAAAGTCTTCGCAAAATGAGGGCGAAATATCTGGGTAGTGTCTTATCTACAAACCCATATGCCTTCCAAAATTTACCCCGAAACTAAATCCGTTAAAACTCCCTCGCCAAAAGAAAAGCAAACAGTCACGCAGAGGCCGGGGCCGAATTTTCGGAGCCCACAAAATCTTCATGCAAATCATTTTAGGTTCAACTTCAAGCAAAAATATAAAATATTAGCAAAATTTATAAAAATACAAAAATATTCAAGTGAAATCTATAGCCTTAAACCTAAAGTAATACTACTTCCACCCTCCATAGTAGTTTGATGAGGGAGATAAATTTAAAATAATCTCAATTCTTAAATAGTCAATATTTTGTTGAGCATATCGCTATGATCTCTCTCAAAATATCTCATACTAGTTAGGATGTGACACTTATCTTGTAACTGGGTGGTTTTATTTTCAAATGACACAACTAAATACCAATTATGATCGGGGCCCTCTAATCAGATGGTTACGCGGCAAAATAATACCATTAAAATAGGGTCATAGCCATAGCCCAAAAATCCCCAATGGCTCCAAATCCCTTAAGTGGTCAAAATTAAGATACACTTAATAGGACATGAAGCTCTTTATCAGTTATTATTAACTTAAACTTGTTCCCTTTTATAAACATCCACTCAAATCTACAAGGTCCCTCAGATGAGCAAACACATGGCTTCTGAGAAGGAACATTCGATCAAATTGAGTTAATTATCTCTTATAACTAAGCAAACTAGGGCCCATGACAATCTTGAACAATGGAACAATGAAATCTTAATCAGGTTCATTATCATTCCCCTATCAAATTTAAGATAATGGCAACAAATTTTCATAAATTCTCTAAAACCAAATTGCTACGACTATAACTAAGCACTTAGCATATATCCATTGAGAAGTATTAATTGAATGTTCTCTCTCATTACCAAGTGAGATAATTAATCATAGGAGCTTTGTGTAAAATAGAACCATATCTTAAAATCCTCACAAAATAAGGGTGAAATCTCTAGGAGCTTAATCTGACTTGTAATCATTTCACCAAGAATATAACTCTCTCAATAGAGCCTGGGTGCAAATTTTCGAGGCCAACAATTAGAATAGGTCTCCTCATTGTGGTCTTTATCTCATCTAACTTAGATCGATTTCCATTTGTTGCTGTGGAAGTTGCCCTTAAAATTGATTGGTTCTTGCCTAAGCATCTTGATCTCGAAGAAGAGATCAAGATAGCCCAGTCATATGAGACTTTCAATCTTCTCTTTGAGTGGAGGGCAAGTTTTGATAGAGCATTCATGAATATGGTAAAAGTTGCAATCATGGTTTAAAATTGCGCAATATGAGGCTCGCCTTTGCGCAATTCCAGAAAAAAAACGCCTCAATGCTTACGCCTCGAGTTTTTTCTATGAGGCTTGTGCCTCAACTTGGTTGAGGCCCGCCTTGAGGCCCGCCTCACCTCACTGGCATGAGGCTTACGCCTCACGCTATATATATATATATATATATAATATTAGTAATATAGTATATTATAATATACTATATATATATATATATATATTATAATTATATATAAAATTTACATAAATCTTGAAGTAAATGCTCGAATAGGACTCTATAGGAGAGGAGGAAAGGGAGAGAGCAGTTCATCATAATAATGATCAAATGAGGAACTTAGTGATGACAGTGCTGATGACTTATGAGTTCTTATGTGATATGTCATTGCTATTTATTTTAGAAATTGGAATTAATATGTTAATAAAAGAATATTGGTTTGGAAACATAGAATTTTGAGTTGAACTATATTTCATGTTGTCTTATTATTGGGATATTTTGATTTCACTTCATATCTTATACTTTTTTATGTTTTATATTATTCACTCATTAGTATATTACAATTTTTTTCATTTTAATGTTTAGACGAATCTTTTGATTTTGAGGCTACGCCTCAAACCGCTCAAATGAAAAATGTCTCAATACCCGAATACGCAATTTTAAACATTGGATGCAATAGTGGTTCAAGTTGCCCTTTCGACTTAAGTTAATCTGTTTAAAACACTTGTCCTTCTGTATATCCAACAAAGCTTTTTAGAATGAGAGCAATTGAACAATGCAGATTTCATTTTTGTGTTGCTTTAATTATTATTAGGAAGATGGTTGTTGAGAAGGGGCTTGATCTTTTGATTGTCTGTTCTTTTGGCGTTGAGAACACTAGCCAAGCCCTGGAAAGAGTCATACTAAGATCCTTTGGATAAGCTCAAAATTAACTCACACAAATTTGGGAGCTTTATGTGAGGATCTCTAGTACTAGTCTTTGAGTGACTATCCTTTATCATGGAGAGAGGAGAATTGTTGGTCATAATAATTTGGTCAATAAAAACCCTAACTAGCTTAGCAAAAGTATTGGTAGTGTCATGAAAACGGGAGTAAAGCCATGTCCAGGCTAGTCTCTCATGCATAGTCTCGGTTGGACATACACAGGAATGAACAAGCCGAAATACGCTCCCTTTCGTTTCTAGAGGGAGCCCTCCCTTCAGAAATTCCGACAGTAAAAAACTCAAAATTCTGGCCAAGACAATGAAGGCTCTGACACCATGTTAAATTCAAAGAATTTGAGAGGAAAAGGCTTAATTTTATTACACAAAACTATCCATATTTATAGATATATACCAGATGTCTTAATAAAGAAACAAATAACTACATAATCATGCATAATTGCCTTAATATAATCATTCCTAAATTAGTAGCCACCCAAATATAGAAGGAGATCAATGTGATTCAGGTGAGCCTCCCACGGATCCTTATGTTGGTCATGGGATCAAGGGCCAAGGGATGACTGAGATTTAATAACGTGATCCAGGTGGTCTTCCATGGATCCCCATGTTGTCTGTGGGATCAAGAGTCAAGGGACGGTTGGGATTTTAACAAGCTTCTCAACCAACTAGAGATCGAGAGACGAAGACACTTTTATGCAAGAGAAAGTGTGAAGGCGAGGCATCGAAAAGGATTCTTGAGAAGAAGCTTATGAGCAAGAAGCTATTAGTACAAACAAAAAAGAACTATTATATATATAAACTAACAAGGAAGTGAGAATAAATAAAAAAACACCAAAAAGAGACTAAACTCAATTGAAAGATAATGGAGATCCAATGAACAATGATTTGATGCCAATGAGAAAAAATAAGATAAAAAATGATCGAGCCTAGTTATTATGGCAAATGTTGACCAAATAATGAAATAAAAACCAAGAATTTCCTCTGAGTAGAAGCTGAGTTATTATGGCATAATGCTACAATGTGATATATTGAAGTAGTGCAACACGTGTGTTTTGCTGCAAGCCTGTACTTCATTGCAAGCTTGCGCTTCACAAGCAAGCGATGCGCAAGGCTAATGCATTGCATTGCTTTACTCCTAAAGTATGCTTTTGAAAACACTTTGAGAGATACATGCACATAAGATTTCTTGCGACTTAAATATCAATAAGCGTGTGGAATCATAAATATGAAAGTAAAATAAACCCTCAAGCTCTTGTGAGGCGTATGAAGCTGTGGGGGAAAATAAAAGACTAATATGTCTTCTGCGAGAAAAAACTAGTTCTCTAGTGGGATATGATCATCATTAGCTGATATTAACTAATTTCATCAAAACACATCCTTTTTTGGAGCAATTTCTTACATATCATGAATCTTGCTTAGTTATGAAACAAAAAGCCAACAGGCATTATTTATATCACACAAATCTCAAAGAACGCAACAAAATAAAACCCATAGTTTTTTGCTTCCACTTATTCTTAATAGTTTGGTCGTAGCATGCACAAATGCATCAATTTGATAGTTCATTTTAATAACTTGGGTGTTATTTTTGTAAATAAGCAAGATTTTAATAGGATGCGTGAAAATCTCCCTTTTTTAATAAATTATGGAATCTGGTTAACATTTGCTCGCCCAACAACTGAATGGAAAAAATAAGGAAAGATAAAGGCTAAAGACAATCCTAAACTCAAGTCATGTTACTCCTAATTTAAATGCATATCACGCCTGTTGCTGCAAACATATAAATAATTGACTTCAATAAAAAATTAAACAACTGAATAATTCAATAATTTGGGGCCTGGGGCCTGCATTATTCCATAGACAATCAAATATTCACCAGATAAAGTTATACAAAGTAATTCTACTTACTTGCTCTGCATAGTTTTGTGGAAGAGCCTCAAGCGTGCTGTTACTAAGCTCTGTTGAAAGCTCATAGCAACGCAAGTTGTTATTGATCTGAATTGAACATTTAAGCATTGACATTATAAAAACAACCTTGTCAATAATTAGGTAACTCATAGATAAAAAAATTCAAAATGTTTGATTGCATTCAGGGCACAAACCATGGCACAAAGAGGCTCCAGGCCAACTTCAGAAGCCGGTTCTTCTAACCTGTGTTTCTCAGCAGCTTGAAAATCAATCATAACCTAGAGCACCGCCGCAGATTAAAGAAAAAATCAAACAGGTGGAAAATGCTGTAAAATAAGAAATACAAGAAAATTAATTCGAGATGTTTTATTATTTGTGCAATTGGTACCAAAGTCAAGCTATCGTAATTTCTTTGATTTTAAGTGAACATTTTTTCTGTTGTGCACTATCTTTTTTTCAAATGTTTTAAAATGGCTTGCCACCTTCTAAAAGGTAAGAATTATAATCCTCAACTATTAATATAATCGTTACAGTCTGCTTCTGTTTGATATTTTTTGTTCCAAAAAGATAGAACTGACGCAATCTGCTTCTTGTTATTGCCCTTGCTATTAAAATATCAATAAGTCTTCGTTTTGGACAACTTTTTTACTGTTTTCTAAAACAATTTTCTAATATAAAAAATTCTAGTTCAAGAATTTTTTTGTACTAAAAAATTACTCTAGAAAACATTAAGAAAGTTGTCCCAACAAAGCTTTAAGTCTCATAACATGTCCAAACTTCTCAGTGCTATATCTTCCAATTTTTATTCAAATTGGGACTGGCCCTCTCCTGATTTCATGACGCAGATGTAAATACAAGATATCATAAATGCAGATTTAATTTTTCAGAATAAATAGGCATATCAAATGCATGAAGCTCCCATCAATGCAGAGCTTTGTTGACATACAGGCGTTACAGAGTGTTTGCTTTCATAATTTCAACTTGTGATGTTTTAATCACAATTGAGGAAATTGTTATGCCTAGCAGAAGAAGCTGAAGCCTTCCGCACGGTTCAGAGAAGCCGAACCCAACAGGAAACAGGGAGGGGGTTCAGCCCCCCTTGTGGGGTCAAGAAAAAGATTTAATTCTGTATGTAAGGAGGAGAAATAGAGGGAGGGAGAGATAATCCGGAAGGTTTTAGTTAAAATTGGGGGGAAATTAATTAGGAAAAGAGATTCAAATTGAATTCAAATTCGTAAGGGAATGAAGTAAGGAAAGGAGCTGATTTTGGAAAGAATTAGGGTAGCCTATTTAGGGCTAACTGTAATACCATCCCAACCGGTCTACACTGGACTGACCAGTTCTATACAAGGCAGAACAAAGTTCCACCTCCCTTGTGTGCCGCACGATCTTGGGGATCCAACAGCGCCAGTTAGGAACTTTCAAAGGGATTTAGGAGGGAAATTTGAATGTAGGGGTTGTTTAGAGATTTCCTTATGGATTATATGGATTAAGGAGTACATTTTCCTAGGGTTAGGGCATGGTTTTTGTGGATTGGTTTTGGGGGAGTTTTTGTTCTATAGGTGCTTGGGCTCTAGTCGACGACTAGAAAATTGGGAGAGTCGAATACTCCTCTCCAATTGAGGATATCATTGTATTGTTACTGTTTTCTGCATTTTTCATCCATAAAGATTGTTTGTAATTGTTGTCCCTCCAAACTATGTGGTTTTTTTTCCGCTGATTTTTTGTTGAACCGTATCCATTGTCTGTTAGATTGGTATCAAAGCCCGTCGATCTAGGGTATCAATGGGTGGAAGGAAAGCAAAAGTTTTGGAGGAACTAGGCCAATTAAAATTAGATTTTGTGGAAAAAATTTAAGATTTAGAAGGTCAATATGCATCCGTCCATGAGAAGATAGATGAGAAGTTCATCGTCGAGGAAGAAATGTTGAAGAAATTACTGGAAGCCAAACCCAATATAATAGTATCTGACACAAAGGAAGCCACCAGCAGCCAAGGAAGCGGGGGAAACCCTAATCCATTCAGGGGAAGGAAAAATCAAGAGGTGAAAATTCTGAATGGAGAAAACGGGATGCCTCCACTAGAGCCTATCTCGAGGGAGGGGATGTGTATTGGGCATGAGCGAAGGGCTGTTGATTTTGCAAGAAGATGAGTGGATCATGAGTATCGAGATGTTGATTTTGAAAGGAGGGGGGATTTTGAATAAGGGTTTGGGTACAAGCGCAGAAGGGAAGATTGAGACACTTGGGGAGTACCTCCCCTCCGGGGAATGGGAGGCTACGGAGGATTAAAGGGAAACGGAGACGATCTGAGGGTAAGGAAGCTGAATATGCCTATCTTTGAGGGCAATGACGCACATTGGTGGATCTACAAGGTAGAGAGGTATTTCGCCGTCAACGGGTTGACAAAGGATGAGAAATTGACAACTGTTGGTCTATGTTTGGAGGGGAAGGCATTGGCTTTGTACCAGTGGAGGAACATGTGGTGACCCATTTGGAGTTGGAGGGAGTTCAACGAATGCTTACTAGAACATTTCTGAACTAGTAGGGGAGGGGACTTCTATGAGCAGTTCTTTGTACTAACGCATGAGGGTTCTGTGGCAGAGTACCATGACAGGTTTGAGTGCCTTGTTAGCCTGCTAGATCGGCTTTTTTGAGATTGTGCTAGAGGGGAACTTCCTGAAGGGGCTCAAGCCCGAGATCTAAGGGACTGCTAGAGTGATGAGGCCACGTGACTTAGGAGAGGTTATGGAGCTTATGCAGTTGGTACAGGACCAAAAGTATCTGGAAGGGGGGGGGGGGGGGGGGGGGGGGGGGCCAGAGACAGCATCTCAAGAGGCTTGTATAGGACGACCACCATTTTCTTAGCTCCTAAGGGACCAACACCAAAAAGTTGAGTGAGACCCCAAAGGAGAAGCCCGGAGGAGGGGAATTCGGGGGAAACTTCAAGAAGCTCATTGAGGAGTTGCAGGAGAAGCGGGTAAAGGGGTTGTACTTCAAATGTGATGACAGGTACACACCATGGTACAGGTGCAAAGACCGAACTCTTTAGGTTCTCATCGTCTGTGATGACGAGGAAGCTGAGGGAGGTGAGAGCGAGGCAGGGGTAGAGGAGGAGGAGAAGCTATATCTTGAATTGGTTGAAGTCTCCTTGAACTCAGTGGTGAATTTCACCTCGAATCACACCATGAAAGTGAAGCGGGAGATAACAGACAGAGGGGTGGTGGTGCTAATCGACAGTGGGGCTACCCATAATTTTATCTACAATCAAGTCGTGGGCAAATCGGAGGTAAGATTGGTAGATGCCAGGGGCTACAGGGTGATGATGGGCACTGGGAAGGTGGAGATAGGTAGAGGAGTTGTGCTGACTATACAAGAGGTTAAGGTGATGGAAGATTTTCTCCCATTGGAGTTGGGGAGCACTAATGTCATCTTAGGGAGGATGAAGTGGCTGCAAACCTTGGAAGAGACCAAGATTAATAGGGGAGCACTGACGATAGAACTAGTGGTAGAGGGAAGAAGAATGGTGATCCATTGAGATGCAGAGTTGTCTAAGGCCGTGGTGTTTCTCAAAATCATGGTCTGGATCATACAGGAGGTAGGGGGAGCGGAGCACACCAGTCCTTTAAGAATTGCTCTACTCAGCTTCTTAGATGACCTATTTCAAAGTGTTATACAGAAGAAACCCCCCACACTTGGTGCATTTTTAGGTAGGGGAGCACACCGGTCTCTTCAGTAAAGCAATACTTAAAATGAAAGAGATAAAGTGTTAGAGGGATTAAAGAGGCACCTATTGAGGGCTCAACACTTATGAAGAAACAGGTGGATGGGCACATGAAAGACATTCAGTTCGTAGTTGGAGATAGAGTATTCTTGAAGCTCCACCCTTAGACCCGGTGGTCCACGTCTCACAGTTGATGAGAGTTATTGGGGAGCATGCAGCTAGTTCAGAGCTACTGTAGACCCTGACAGAGGATTTAGAGGTCGTGTTAGAACCACTAGAGTTTAGAGATTTCTTTCTGGATTGTATGCATTAAGGAGTACGATTTTCTAGGTTTAGGGCATGGTTTTTGTGGATTGCTTTTGGGGGGGGGGCAGAGTTTTTGTATTGTAGGCGCTTGAACTCTAGTCGACGACTAGAGAATTGGGAGAGCCAGACCCTCCTCTCCAATTGAGAATCCTATTGCATCGTTATTATTTTATACATTTTTCATCCATAAAGATTGTTTGTAAATGTCGTCCCTCCAAATTGTGTGGTTTTTGTCCTTGCTTGAATCGTATCCGTTGCCTATCACTAACCTTGTTGTATTTTCAAGGGTATGTGTGATTTGTTTTTTTTATAGTTCTTTTCTTTAAGGGCATCCCATAGGTGTCTAGGTTGTTTGGGATAGCCGATCTACCTCTATAATTGTAAATCACTTGTATCTTATTTTGTATTGAAGTGATAATACAAAATCAACTATTGTTTCTAGTATTCCTACAATTTTCTACTGATTCTTTCGTTGTTTTTACTTCCAAGGCATATTAGAAATCCAATCAATGCCACGGCCCATCATAAATAGCCAATAGCCTACTTGTGAACATTCAGAATACCCTAATTTTTAACTGATAGATTTTCTTATATTTTAACGTCTTATAATTTTAAGAAAGGCCTCCGCAATCTTCCTTCATTACAAGCACTACGAGCACTACAACCTATTTATTTAAAACTTAAATATAAGATGTGTCTTAGAAAATCATTTCGAGGCTCATTTGGATAATTCAATGCATGGCACTGCTGAACACGGCCAGTATATGCCCAGACTATGCCGTTAACCTCAAGCTCGAGCATCTCAATCAATTTCAAGTGTCAGAAACTTAAATTCCCATATGACCTGAGCTTAAGCAGTATATCGCATTCAAAGCCTAGAATCAAACAAATTTCATCTCCTTAGCAAATAAGCCTATCCAAAAGTTTCTGAACAGCTTCATCTATAGGTTAATAGATCTCTCAAAACTCAAAACCTTACTACAAATGCTTCCTTCTTTTTCTTCTCTGGCTTTCCAGATAAACGTGACTAACTCTTTACCGTTTTCTAGGATATAGCCAGTGATGTGTTCTAGAACTAAGTTTTGCTATTTTTGGGATCTTTTTTATTTATCCAGATTATTTTAGATCACTGTATAAATTGATAACCAATTTTTTATTAAATACAATAATATCTACTCTTTAATTAAAACGTTTTATAAAAGAAGAATTCTGTCTTTAAAGGTGAAGCACATCCTATTGGACTTTCAGTTTTTGATATCATCAATAATACAAAAGAATAAGGTTTTGCAACATAAGTGAAAGTATCCAATACAAAGGATTTGAGTAAATATTTTGCCCATTTGCCATTAAGATGAGTCAATACTAAATAGAAAAGGCAAAAACAATGTCCAAACTTCATTTAATCCTGGCAAAACTGATTAGCCAGTTCCAAAAATAAAACTGGTACATGACTATAATCATGAACCTGAACATTAAGATAATATATGGACAACGTCTTTTGGAATTGAAGTTGCATAAGTTACCATGTACAAATAAGTTGGATAACATATATTTTCTGTTCCCTTATTATGAGATTCAAAATTGGTAAGCATTCAAGTTTCAAATGATTCATACTTTAAGTCTATGCAGTATTTTGTTAACCGTAATAAAAATCACAAGGATTAAGGTTCAATAGCATCTAACATAGATTATTGAGAAACTTAAAAAAGAAAAAAACATACTACTAAGCACATAATCTTGCCTGAATAATTGCTAGTGCTGTACGGTAGAGCATGACTTCTGTGCTGTTCTCTCTAACAATCTGTACTTGTTCTGTTAAAATGCGAAATAGATCCACAGCTGCTGGCGTATACAGCTTACCATCTTCTGTTTTCTTAGGTGGTTGTACCTTGTCAGCGTCCAAGATGTTTGTATACCATTTCTGTAGAAGAAATTTAAAAAAAAACTGTTAAGCCCATTCTTTCCAGCTAAATTAAGCTTTAATATGCAAGTTAATATATGCCTAATCAATTACCTTCATTGTAGCTTGCATCCGTTCCATGTATGCATTCATAAGTGGATCCATGGCGCCACTTTCAGAACATACTTGAGCTAAGGACTCGTCAACTCCAAGGCCAATCAAATTTTCTTGATATTCAACGACCCATCCAGTCACCTAAATGAAAAATTATCATTGAAAGTGTTCAAAGAATTCAAAATTAAAGAAGGGGAGACATCGCAGTACATGAACTCTACAATTGGACCACTGCATTTTACACAGGGCATAGCATTCAAGTAAAAAATTATTTCTTAAGGAAATATTTATTTACCTTTAATATTTCTATATTTGTTAAATTATCTGCCCTATCACTGAAAAGCCTAAGCATTTGAATAAACCTTTCTGTATATTGATTAACCATGAGCTGGAAAATTTCATATCTGCAATAGTTGAGAAACTACCACGTTAGAATGCTATGAACAAAATTATACTAAAAAAAAGGTTCTTAAAAAATAATTTTCATTCATTGTAGAACTAAAAATTAGAGGTTGACAAAATAAGTATCAAGGAAGTTAATAGAGTTAAATATGACAGATTTCTCGTAAATGGATAAACGTTTTAGGATATTATCTCTCAATCTATTCAAGTTTGGAAGGGCTTCCCCTCCAACTAAAGATTAGCAGTCTTCCAAGTATGTATTTCATCCTAACAGTGAGCACGCCCACATGACAAATGATTGACCAAACGAAAATGTTAAACTAGGCATTAAAGAACCAAGGAATTACAATTGGATTTGATTAGGCCCAAAAGGTTAATGAAAAATAAGAAATTAAAGGAAAAGGTCATCAGCTTAGCAAATGCAAAGATCAAAATGCAAAAGATCGTTAAATATGAAGCAGCATTAGAAAACAAGGCAAAGAATAAACTAAAAGAGTGCAAGCACGTTCCACTACATTATCGAACTTCTAACAACTTATTAAAATTGTCATTTTTATCTGATAAGTGAGATCTGTGGGAGTTGGGCATAGTAGAGATGCAGTATATCATTTGCTAATTTCAAGATGGGAGGTGATGAAAAAATTGTCTTCACTAAAGAACTCCCTAGCCAAAATGAAGAAAGCTAGCAAAAAAATTTCCTGAGAATTAAGAACACTGGAAATAATCAAGAAGTTCCTTGACCTAAATCCATTAGTACCCTTACCATCCCTCCATATTTTTGAGTTAGCAACATCCCAAATGATCTCGTTTTTATTAGCAAATCAACTATTAATTTTTTTCACTATTTTTTACATTCACTTCAGATCAAATGTAAGATGAGAATTGGCGTGCAGATGTTTTCCCAGACATTATCGTAGTTAAAATTTTAGACGTGGTCCTTAAGTCCATCAGATAGACAAAGAGGGGTTTATTTAAAAAAATATTAAAAAGAAAATAACAAAAGAAAGAGATCTGCAAGTTATACTATGGCATATGCCCAAAACTTCCACTACACTAAAAAAAAAGTAAAAACATAAGAGAAAATAGCATTACAAGAAAAAAAAAATCTAGAACTGTCAAACATTTATATACACAACAACAACAAGTCTTTATCCCACTACATGGGGTTGGCTACATGAATCATTTTTCTCCATTGTGTCCTATTAAGAGTCTAATTCTCATGTACATGCTGAATTTAAATACAATCAAATACTTAGCCATTGCATAACATAACATAAGCAAGTGTGCAAGGAAAAGAAAGAATGAAAAAAAAAATGACCAACAAGGCAACAAACCTTGGGGGAAAACAAGGAGCCACATAGTCATAAATGTCTCCAAGCTCATTACCAATCTAGCAAAGAAGATTAAAGACAGAATCAAGCACTGGCATGATATTACTACTGATTTCATATGAAGACAACAAGAAAATAAATGCCTCAATAGCATGCTTAGCCTTATCCTGTGCAGCATATCAATAGTGCAGATGAATAGATTTTTTTTTTTTTTAAGTGCAGATGAATAGATGTGTACAGATATCTCCATGGAAAGGGAATGGCTTTGCCCACCTTACAATACATAGAAAGTAATAAGGGGTGAAAAATACATGCGTCCCTTTCTGCCCCCTCTTGCTGGGATATAGCACAGGCTGACTTTGTGTGTTCCCACTTCACCTTTTAATATTCATGAGCTTATGCTGGAATCCAATATCTATGATTGTGGCATGATGCAAAATGTATCCCAGATCGATGGTGGCAAGGTGAGTTCTAAAAATTATGGTAGCAAAATAAAGAATGGAGATTGAGGAAGAGAAAAATATTAAATAATGCAACGGAAAATCCAGACTCGGATCCACTATTTTTTCTATAGGATGAATCCAAATGTGCTGTTTTGCTGCTTTAAGCTAAATTTAAGGAAAACTACAAATTTTGTGTCATTTTTATTATAAGAAAGACACCATCAGGCATATACTAGTTTATGAATTGGTTAATAAAATTTCAGATTCCTATCAAATTTGTGTTGTTCAATCATATTATATATCCTGACAACATATTCTGTTGGAAGCTATTCATTATACCAATGTGAGATTTAAATTTTATTTTTGGTGAGTTCTATTCTTTTCTTTTCATCTAAGTATTTTTTTATTGCTTTTGAGTGTGCGGTTTAGATTCAGTCAATTCTACTACAATCTAGTTTCCTTTTTGCAATGCGATCCTAATTGTTGTGTGGCTTTATTCATGCACATATTTTTTTGAAGAAGTTACATGTTTTGATCTTTAAATTATTATTGAGATAAAGACCAATATGATCCCCGACTCTTTAAGAAGAATCAAAATATTATATGGCTATTTAAAAGCCTCATCTTAGTCCCTTAATATTTTAAATAGGGACTTAAATGATCTTTAACAAAAGAACAAATTTGATCCCTATTTAACGAGTCAAGGGATCAAATACTACAAATTAGTATTTTTATATAATTGAGAACAATTTTAATCCTTTGGAAAAAGTTATACCAATTTGGTCATTTTTTCAATTATTATTTGAAGCGAGTTTCACATATTTTCTCTTTGCATTAAAAGACGCGGTCTTTACCTAACTAAGAGTTGCTGAACTGAATTGATCCTTTAGGTGTGCTTTTGAGCATTCCATCCGAGAAATGCTTCATCGATACACATCATTCACAAAGCACATGTTACTTAGAGAACAGAATAATTTTAGTTAAGGATACTTCATGAAGATATATGATCTTGGTGTAAATTAATTGGGCAAATCTTCCCTCCACCATTCAAAAATTAAAGCAAACTAACGTTAGACTGAATTTTGCTAATTGCATTTTCATTAGTGACAAGTCTTGCCCTCCACATGCAGATTGAAGCACATTAAACAGCAAGAACTTCACATCTAATAATCTTATTGGTCTAGACTAGGGGTGCAAAGGAGTCGAGTCGAGCTCAAGTACTACTAAGCACTAGCTCGGCTCACTTACTGTTTAACTGGCTCTAACTTGAGCTTGAAATAGACTCCATATTTTTTTCCCAGCTCGAGCTCGAATAAGATTCTCGAACTCAGCTCGTTTGCAGGCTTGTTAGAGAAGATAAACGAACTAAATGTAAGGTTGATGTTTCTTTAAGACTTATAAGCAAAAAATTTCATCATTCTACCAAAGCAAAGCATCAATCAAAACCCACAAAACATTTTCAAACTCAAAGCAAAGCATCAATCCAATACTCACAAACCGTAAATTGTGAAGCAAGTTTTTACAGCTCAGAAAAATTGGCTTTGACAAAGAAGATAAACGAACTAAAAAAACCCTCAAACGGATTGTGATCTGTCCATCCTGATCGAAGCCCTTGCTGAAAATACAACTAGCCACAAATCTCACCTTCTTCACTCCTTGCGCTCACAAGTCACGACCCACAGCAGCTGAGCAACCAAACAAAAACTCTAGAGCAGCCGCTTCTCTTCGCGTTCACGCAGCATAAAAAAAAAACCATTTTTACGGTTCAATTCTAACAGGGTAATATTCATGCTAGGCACTGCTCCCTCTCATCCCATTTCAAAAATCCATTGTTCCGTGCTTCAGCTCGGTCCGCCGTCCGCCTTATGTTCCTTTTCGAGCTGCTTGACGAGTACTCGAGTCGGGATTCGCCTCTATTGAACTCGAGCTCAGTAATACAATGAGCTCAAACTCAGCGAGCTCATTAACGAGTCGAGTTCAAACCGGCTTGACTCATTTGCACCCCTAGTCTAGACAATGAAGCATAGTAGATAAATGAAAATCAACAAGAATGAAGGTAGGCATACATAGCGAATGAGGCCCCCCCTCCAAACACAATGATAAGGATGATTGATGGATACAAACATGGCCTTGAATTGCAAAAAGGCTTTTTTCTGACTTGAAAATGTAACCTTGATATCACAGTGGAGGCACCTTAACCTTTGCACTTATTCTATCAAATGAAAGTCAGCAAAGAATACACTAGGGAAATTAATGAAATTAATTACTGGAAAATTTTTCATAACCCTAAACTTTTCAGGTGTAAGCCAATTGATCAAAATGATACATACCACTCAGCCAATATATGTCAATCCACAATGGCACCATAGACATTTAAACTTAACAAAAGAGTGGCTCAAGCCTGAAAAGCGCAAGATTTCCTCAGAAATTATCAAAATATCATACTAAAATTCAGAATATGCTTTATGAATCTTCCAGCAGAATTTGTCTATTGGTTCTGAAAGTTGATCAAATTGAAATAAACTCAAGCAACAGATCAACACGTTTTTCAGCTAATGCATTAGTAATTCGACAAGAAAACTATGCAACTAAAAGAAGAATAAAATGCAACTCAGGTTACACAACTAACTTGATATAAAAGCAGAATTTACTCTGTGGTTAGTGAAGTCCCATGCAAAAGCACACCAAGATCAACCATTGTTTCATACAATTTTAAGGGCTCATTTCCATAATCTTTAATCTTCATATCTTTGGATTTTTCAAAAACACAAGAATTTCATTAAATGCTTCAAAAAGATAAGTATTGCAGATGGATCATCCATGTGCTATTTATTGCATGTCCAGCAAAAATTTCAAGAGAAACTGAATTGACAAAAATGATCTGAATGTAAAGAGAGACATACCTCTCGAGCTTCCTCCAAAGAAGCTTTTAGATCCTCAAACACAAGCTGCAAAAATACAATTTAAGTAAGCGGAAGCATGCAGCAAATGAATGGCGTATATTAATTTTTAGAACACGTATTACAACCTGTGTCAGCAATTTGTTAAACCTTTCTTCAACAGTTTTTCTTATTTGCTCGTAGCACTTATCCTTGTAACATTTTCCCTGAATTTTCTTCTCATGTGAAACGTCTCTTGGCGAGGCTGTCACACCTGCACCTTTTCTGCTAAATGCAAGAGAAATAATTGCAGACAAGTAACATAAGGTATCCTCATTAAATCATGTAGAGAAGAGGTTTAAGTAGAGACAAGGAATGCAGGACTTCACAAGTACAGGATTGTTGACCCTAATACTAGTGTCGGATCGAGTCGACCGCGCAAGGAGGGTTTCAAAAGCGAAAGAGCTCGAAATCGCGCAAAAACCCACCCGACGCGTGTCGACCGAAAACCCAAAATTACTGAGATGACCTCCGTTCGCGAAACGGACAGCGCCGATG